GTGTGTGTGTGTGTGTGTGTGTAAAATTTATCTATATCTATATCTATCTATGTATATATACACATAAATTTATGTACAAATTTATCTACCTCAGTGTATCTGATTTGGGATTTGAAATGCTCTTTCTATATATACCGAGTGCCCAAGGGGAGTGAATGAGTAGATAGGTAATGACTATGGATGCTAGTAAGCTCCTAGTTGTACCTTCTTTTAGTGGGTCATGCATCAGTGGGTGACCGTTTTGCAAGTTCCTTGCAATGGCGGTGGGGGTTCATATCCCTGTCGGAGAAGTTATAAATTCGTGATATCAATGCGGACAGTACATTAATCTATCTTTCATATAGATTTATATGTGTAAAAATATATATATCATATATATATAATAATATACATACATACATACATACATATATATATATATATATATATATATATATAATATATATATATATACATATATATGTTTATGTGTGTAGAATGTGTATATATGCATTTGTAGAAATATATATATATATATATATATATATATATATATATATGTGTGTGTGTGTGTGTGTGTGTGTGGTGTGTGTGTGTGTGTGTGTGTGTGTATTGTTGCTTAGTACTGACTAAAAGTACAATACACAGACCTTTTCTGAAACAGGCAAATTATCATTTCGTCTTTCTTATTTCCTCTAATGTCCTACAACTTCAATCTGGCAAGGCTGCGAAGTTGAGACCGAGATCCACCCAGATGGCGACAGCTGGACGGAAGGTTGCCATAATTACACCTGCATAGCCGGCTCGCTCGTTCCTACGGCTCTGCTGCCAACATGTATGTCTTTGTCTCTGATGAGCTATATACCTTGGGTGCAACACATTCAGCTTCTTGATTCAATATCACTTAATAAGTTACTTCTGTTTGTTAATTTATGCATTTGACATTCTTGATTACGAGTATTATATGTGGAATAGCTCAAACATTCTCTTTAATTACATGAATGCTTGAAAGTATTATTGCTATCCTTGCTCAAGTTTAGACGCTTAGCAGCAGAGCAAATATGGCCTCAGGTAAGCTGCCTTCTCCAAAATATGTAATTTATTATTAATGGGGGTTTTGTGTAACTTGGACTGTAAATGAACATGGCAATGCACTCGGAAGGTGAAAGACATGCATCTATCAGCGATCATTGTTTGTCTCTCCAGGTTGCGAGATAGGAGCGGAGGTCTACCCAGACGGCCACACCTGGACTGAAGGCTGCCATAACTACACTTGCGTCGCAGGGACCCGCAGTGAACCGACTGTTCTGTCAACATGTATGTGATTTGCACGGCAATCAAGTTGGCTTCCTGTTTGTCCATCTGTCTCTCCTCCTTTTCATTTTTACCTCTCACGCTTCTCCTCCTCTCTATCTACCACCCTGTGTTTCCTTCAGTGTTCCTCTCTCCTGTTTTTGTTATTATTCTTTATATGTTTGTCTATGTATACCTTGTTTGCACATACCTAATTTTCTTTCTGTTCTTAAGAATCTTAAATCTGATTTAAAACCGCACAATGAGTAATTTCCTTGCATGCTCGTATTGCAGTTATCAATTCCTTGCCTACTTGTGTCTGCATGTTCCTTGCTGAATGTTTCTTTTCATTAACTTGCATGATTTTCCGCCAACTCTTTGGGTTTCTATGTGGTCTGATTTTTTTTTCTATCATATCACATTTGGCTTTAATATACTATATATGAGTTTACCATATTTAGCTTCATGCATGAGTATACTGCTAACTCCAGAAAACATAAATGTAGCTGCAACAACTTGCAGGTCTTAGTTTATTCAACTAAAAATCTCCATCTCACAATAGTTAGAGAATACGTTAAAAACTAACGAATCAACAATAAATAGAAATTTTCCACTGCTGCTCAGGCTGCACTGTCCAGGATGAGCTGTTCCCAGATGGCTACCAGTGGCCCGAGGAGTGCCAAGTACTGTTCTGCGACGCCGGTAAACTCAAGACCAACACCACATGTCTGTGTCTTTGTGTACACCTAATTGTGTGCATGCTTATATTTACTATGAGTTGGGGTTGGCTATTCGCTAGTAGAAGTTTCGAAGGGGCTGATTAAATTCTTTCGTACAGGGGTATAGGTGTGTATTTGTAGAAGCAACTACTTTGCCTTTGTCAGTGTAGATCTCTCAGTTGCTGAAGCTTGCCCGTATGCAGTCCTTTCTTTCCCATAAAATAAAAACATTGAAGTTGAGAGAACTGCGGATGGGTTAATGAAACTTTTATGTTGGCAGGTTGTGAGGCAGATGGGACCATGTACCCTAACGGTGGGAACTGGACGGAGATGTGCTACTGGCAGACCTGCGTATACGGCACACCTGTCACACTCCACATGAAGGATTCATGTACGATTGCTCCCTCCATAAGTCTTTAACACACGGGAAAAATAATTTATTTAATTTGATTAAGAACATGTATAATGGGGAATGTGCCCTAATCGAGATATTCGGTTTTCTCTGTAAATACTGATAATCCCTATTTCCATCAGACACCTGCATTCTACTAACATTATCATGGTATTGTAGGTAAAACTGCCCTGACGGCGACTGCATCCGTGTTGGGCATACTAGTTTTTCTGGTCATCATCGTCGTTGCGTACTTCTGCTGCCGCACCGCCAAAAAGGGGAAATCCCAGAATGGCAAACCTGTCGTCTACGTCAACATGGCCAAGGAAGAACTGCTGATAAAAGAGTGATGATCCCTCGTGGCCTGTCGTCATGGGACAGCAAAGCAAGAGACTGAGAAGGTGGACGTGGAAACTTCAGTAATGAAATCATACCACAGAAGGGCGGATCAGCTTGGCCAGATATTGGTTACCCGGATCTCTTAGTGTGCGGAGAATAGCGGCAACATGTAGATACCTTTGTGGATGATTTTGTTGCTTTCTGAACTCTTGGAGAATTTTGTGTTAAGTATTGGCCTCCAGGTCAGTGCATGTGTGTGTATATATCGCTTCTACCGTATATATGATATTCAAGTTTTGGTGCGTGTTCAGATGATATCTAGAAGTCATGAAGATCGCTTCATATGCCCTAAGGTCTGACAGCGATGTCACCGCCTCAGGAGAGTCAAGCCGTGACCTGCCTTAGTTGATTCAGTCCAGGCCTTCCGAGAAGGAAGAACGGCAAAGTGCGGAGAAGGGGACCTGCTAAATTTTGCTTCGTGATTCACATTTTGATAGAATCATGAAATCTTTGTGTTTGCTTGTAGAATGAGTAATTTTGATTTAATTAAACGAAGGTGTATCATTTTCGCATAGAACATTATTTAGGAGACCGATCTGCTCTTTAGCCAGGACTACAGAGAAGACTAAATTCATGTCATGTTGTCATGAGAAGGCCACGCTCACCGCCAGTGCTCCGAGTTACGGCTTAGTTTTTTTGTCTTTTTGGTTATTGAGTTTAAAGTGAGAAATCTATCTGCATAACATAATGATCTGCTGGAACGTTTTGGAATGAAGATCACGTGAGCGATCTTCATTGCAAATAAAGCCTCTAGTCCGTAGTAACGATTTGACGCAAAAAACAAACAAACAAGAACAAGGCATAATTTTGATTACGCTATTTATAGTATTTTTCTGTGAATATTACTAAGTTTTGGTGAGGTGATAGGTACAAGAGATAAGCGAAGAAATGAATCATTATGATTATAATAACAAACACTGTTACGGTAATAATGATAAATATTAGCTAATGATGATTATTATTGCGCCAAATAATTATTATTGTAGTAAACAAGCAATTATAAAAAAATAAATAAAAAAAAACTAAGGAGATGAACTGATGCTTGGAGTTTCATGCTTATGAAATTTTGTGATGACTGAGTAGAAAGAAATCGGGGAAACTATCCGTGATTGTGATATATAAGTATTGGTATACACTCATAGATCATCATCTAACCAACAAACTGAAATTCAAACAAAAACAAAGCCTCTCTGCCTTACTGTTATTCATATCGTAGGCCTCAAATTCCTCCAATAATGTGATGCCATGTATTTGTACAATAAAGATTTTCTTTTTTATTATGAAATGAAAATTTTCCTCCCTTCATGTTATTATTATTGCTGCTGTTGTTGTCATTATTATCATTATTATAATTATTATTATCATCATGGTAAGCCTTATTAGATCTACGTTGAAAAATTCGAGTTATACCACCAAAGGTATCGAAATCTAGATAAAATCAATGTTATATTAGATTTCTGTTATAATCAAGGTCTCCGCCACCACCGCTGTTGTCTTAGAAACAGGAAAAACGTCTCTCCTTCAGGCGAATTCATTATTAAAGATATAACAAAATCATAATTCCTGTAATGAAGAACTTAAGGAAACCAGATATTTAATATTCCTGTATTTTACTATTTTCTTTTTAATAGATTCACTTGAAGTATCTAAAACTCATTATTGCAATTCCAATATATATGACAATGTGTACTAAAAATATATATATTCAAATATATTCAGTACTGGAAAGCTCTTATTAATTTGATAGGTATAAATGGCAGACCCTGCTTACCAAAATAACCACAAAAAGCACGCAGACCCTGGCTGCGTCCCGAGATCAGCCTTCATTCACGCCCAACGGAAAAATGCGGCCGCCCCGGGTCAACCCTCGCTGCCTCTCACTCCGGGTGCATGCCCAGCATCGCCTGATCACTCGTACGATGTCCAGTCATCACGGTATTTTCCACTGTGGCCATGGCCACGTGATTTTTCTTTTTATTTAACAAAATGTGGAAGATTGCTGAACTTCCACATCCCTCCCTCCTCAGTAACAGCCTGTCCCCAGGATGCTGCTAAATGTTTTGTCACAGATATTAACACACGCAGTAACTCTGCACGGGAGGCATCCAGGAACTACACCTTGCCCACAGGTGACCTGTAGGCTATCGGAAGGCAGGAGGGGCCTTGCATCTCCTGTTGTAAGCTGTGTGGCTCACACCGATACCAAAGTTATATATATTCTTGTGATACTGGGGGAGGTGATAACATTTTAGTTCATCCCCATTTCTTCGATTACCACAAACAGGTCCTTAGCCTCTGAAACAAGGACAGCGGCAGAAAACTGTGTATGGATATAAGCCGTGGAGTTCAAGATGTCTGGGGAAAGCATGGACCGGGAAAGCATCCATCTGGTGGCCTGGTTGAGGGAAAGCCAGATATACCATACAGTTCCCCATAGAACTTCCAGGCATTAGCTTTGAATGTGAGAAAAAATGGAAGTTCCCTTCATTTGGAGGAATTATGAGGGTCACTCCTTTGTTAAAACATTTAAAAAATAGCCCTCCCAAAGTAAACTTTGGTTTTCCTCTACTCCTCGATGAATAGCCCGGTAGTTCTCCAAGACAGAACTACACAAAAATTTAACAAGAATATAACAGCCACTTCAAGGGGACCGTCTGTTTTCGATTTTTCGATTTTATTTGCCGATTCTGATGAAACTCACACTCTTTTATTTGTGCCCCTTCCCATTGCCTGTGGTCGATTTTTTTTCGAAATCGCCCGAACAGTTTTTGAATTATTGTAAAAAAAACACGAAAAAATGCGAAAGAGGCCATGTTGAAAATGCAGCACCTGGGTCAAACGATTCCGACTTCAGAAACGGCAAGACATTCAATTTTATTTGATTTTTGCACAGAACTACCTTATAGCTACAACTTGTTCGAGAGCGTTTTTTCAATTTCGAATTCATATTTTTTTGTGAATTTTTGAAGTAGGGGACTTCAAGAAAAAAAAGGTAAAAATTTTCTTACATTGACCACTTTTACAAAAATTGCGAAAACGCTCTCGAATAAGTTGCAGATATTTTATTTTTCTACAAAATGAGCCACAATATGTTAATTTTGGACATATGTTGTGCCCGGAATCCTTTCACCCACCCCTAAAGGTGGAGTTCCGAGATATCGGCATTTTACGTTTCTTCATCTTTCCAAGGCTATCTTGATATCAACAAAACAAGGTATAAGATTAGTCTTCCTACACCATAATCCTCTATCATCTACCTGAATTCCGAAGTCTTGCGGACATTGCCAGCACGTAACGGTTTCTCAAAATCTTACGTATAGTGCGGAGTGGTCTATAGGCTTACATTGACCATTTTTTTTAATTTCTCAAAAATCCCCCCAAAATCATACAGCCATTCTGATTTCATGTTTATTTAGCAGACCGATCTGCTCTTTAGCCAGGACTACAGAGAAGACTAAATTCATGTCATGTTGTCATGAGAAGGCCACGCTCACCGCCAGTGAGCATGGCTATTATATGCAAAGCCATTTTTGAGAAGTTGACCTTACTTTTTTCTTGGTGAATATTTTCCGAAGGTGGCTATTTTAACCCTAATAGGAGATTTTGAAAACATATGTCACTTTTACAAGAACCACATGAAAATATTGCAAATCCTTATGGCAGCATGTAACAGAACTATTATTCAGCTATAAAATGAGCCATAATACTTTAAAATCGGACCGAAAATATGTGTGCTATGCGTAAAAATATGTGAAAGACTAATAATCGCGATCTTATTCCTTTTTATTATGTTTACATTTTACATGACAAATCATGTATAGAAGACTTGTATATAATGTAATTATCTATCATTACCTATTATTGATGCTCTAATGGGGTTTTACAACGTATAATATTTGTCGAAAGAATAACTTTTCTCCAGTCGGACGGGTACCAAACGCATACTTTTCCCGCGCGGCCGGGCCGTCCTGGACCATGAAAATCGTCTTTTTAAATCTGCGGAATAACTCTACGGGGTCACGTAGCCAAATTTCACTCTCAGACCCCGTGGAAAGACGAAAAACAATTACATGGCGATGTGAAAGTATGTATATAAGGTATATGAGCACATATAGATAATTTTCGTGTACCCCATGACCTTTTGTTTATTTATATTGTTTGTTTGTTTGTTTGTTGTTTATTGTTTTTTTTTTTGTTTTGTTAATTTGTGTTTTAATATTTCTAAAAGTTATGAACACATTTTAACGAGATTTTAACCAAAGGGAGTTTTAACCTAAGACGCTTATTGCAGTTTGTGGTGATGCGGACCATGGTTTGGATCCAGGAATTTTTTCTAACTCGAAAAGTTATGAACAGATTTGAATAAAATTTTACCTGAGGTTTGTCTTAGCCTAATTATATTCCATAAAATTTTGTGGTGATCCGAAATTTGGCAAAACTACCCCCATTGGTATGCATTTTGCTCATAGATCAAACTATGTATGATGAAAACATAAAGAAAAGAAAATACACCATATGAAAAATGTTTAGTTATTTGTATGGAAAATTTCTTCATTGTCGTTTTTTGGACGCTTGCCGGATTTTTAAATTATTCCGAAAAAAAGAAGGTTGGTCTCATCTTATGTGAAATTTGATAAGCTTTCAGAAAATAACCTCATATTTTTTATTATCTCTAATCATTGCGTCACAATTGCCGATTTTCTAAGGTAACATCAAAAAAATAATATTTCAGTCGACATCGAAAATCGCTGCTACCACCTAAAAAATAACGGTCGGGCCTTGATTTTCAGGGGAGAACCGGGGGCCTAGAAACTCCTTGAAAATGCATTAAAGTCAATTTCGGCAAGAGGGCGAAAATCGTCGAAAAATCACCAGACGGTCCCCTCAATAGCCTTTCTTGCTAATCTATCAGAATCCACGATCTGGGTATGTAACATGTCTAAATCCTTCCGAGGAATAAGTAACATATTTGCTCCATTTAAATCTTTCTTTCTAATATCCCTGACTAAAATCTTAAAAGATCCATACGATTCTGCATCTAACATTAAATTCTCTACTAGAAAAACCTCAATCCTCCTATCATTAGCCTAACTATCGTCTAAAATAACCTTATTATTTCTAGCCAAACTACTAACTGAAGTGACTTTCTTATCATTAGCCCCGCTATTATCTGAAGTAACCTTATTATCATTAGCCATGCTTTTGTGTAAAATAACCTTTTTATCATTAGCCTCGCTATTACCTAAAGTAAGTTTCATCATTTGCCAAGCTACTATCTAGTGACTTTTTCATCATTAGGCCTGCTATTATCTAAAGTAACTCTCTTATCATTAGCCCTGCTATTATCTAAAGTGACTTTCTCATCATTAGGATTTGACCTGTAGCATACTTTAAATCAACTCCCAGGCCGGAAAACTTCACAGGGGTCCCTGCAGCTTTCCCTGCCTTGGTCCTCCAGCGTCCCTTCAGGCCTATGGTTGCCATGGAAGCGGCAGATGTATTATTACTACATAAGACCTTAACCTCCTGACCGTTAATGGATAAGGTGGTAGGGCTTGATGTATATATAACCCTATGTGCATCCGTGAAATCATTTCCTATTAACATCAGGCATGGTAAACCCCAGGAGATGGATACCCAAAGCTTCGTATAAATTACAAAGTCGAGGGCATTGTAACCGCCTTACAACATTGTACTTTACGATCTCCTTACTACATTGTAAATGACCCATAATCAAAAAAATAAATAAATAAATAAAAATAAAATAATAATAATAAATAAAATACAATGGAATAAGCACATTGTAAGGCCAATGTCCATATTGTAAGTTAGTTCCCTACGCTGCCAAGAGAGGGCAGACCAGTAATTGATTGACCAATCAGCGGTCAGCCTCCTAGACGTAACAGCCAATGGAAAGCCACAGATCTCAGCTGATTTATCACTACAGTCCACCAAAAGTAAACAATGCCACGGAAGGTCCTAGTCAAAAGAAAATGAAGGCCAAATTTCTCAGATTAATAGATGTTGGCTTAAATAGAAGCTGTGGCCAAGAGGAGTGTAGTTCTAGGGAAAATAGACAACAAAATAACCGGACAAGTGATAACCCCTGGGAGTGTGTAACTAGTGAGGTGAATCTTGTCGATCGCGTTCCGAGGACTGTGGCTGAAACGCGTAGGAAGTTCACAGACCTCAGAGCAGACGTGAAAAAAGAAGTACAAGAGAAGTAATACATGGAAGGAACAGGTAAGATTTGTAAATGAATTTTGTTTAGTATATG